CTTGCGTCTTAGGGATTAAATATGTATAGTAGTGCCCGAATGCTGGTGGTTGGTGATAAACCTTTGACTCGAAAAACTATGTCGTAAATGGGAAAAAGACAGACTGCCTAGAGGAAGATATTAAGCCTAGATGCCGGGTAGGAACGCATTACGAGAAAACAACCTGGATGAAGGAAAGAGACTCTAGTTGAGAATGAGAAGAAAGCGATCTTGTGAGACAAGGAAAAGCAATGGTGGAGGAAGTACGGGCGAAAGACAGAAAGATGGTGAGAGTCTGGATGATCTCACTCAAAGTACCTTCACAAAACCAGCTATATCTCGACTAAGACGTAGGCGCTTTGAACAGCTTATTTTGAACGCTGTCACAGCTTTCGTCTGCTTGCTAGATCAGTATCCGCGAGTTGCAAGTTTTCGAGTATCAAAGTTCGTGGGAGGGAATGTGAAGGGCTACAAGGTTGTGGTGCGATGGGAGGGTGCAACGGGCGATCGCTGAAACCTACATTTATTGGAAATGGAGAGTCCAAATTCGGGATTCAGTCAACATCTGGATTTCATCAGGTTGAGATGATCCGGTGTCAAGGCAACAAAAATTGTGAGTGGTTACGAGCTGGATTGATTAACTGTCGATTAGGTAGACGTCATCGGAAGAAGCAACGAAACAGTACCCCCGGCTTCGTCTCCAGGAACATCAACACGCTCATCCAAATCCATGGACCCAGTTTGTTACTACTGCATCAGAGGTGCTGTCAATCCTGCGTTGTCTCTTGTATCATTACCCGAACTTACAAGCAACCATGCCGTCCTTAAAGTTCTTCGCCTACGATGAACTTCGACCACTTCGAAGATTCGCGTTCCTTCAAATTACCTCTTCAAACAAGCTCATTACCTCCTCCGTCACGCGTTGTGATAGCAACTACAAGCACGGGATCAATATCTTAGGATCCAGGAAATCGTAGAAGTCTAAAGACAAGAAAGCACGGAGAGACGACTCGGCACGATGTACTGCAGGGTTTGACACGTTGGCACGATCTGCGGAAAGATGTTATTGCTCGATTTCCCGATATTTGGAACCGACGACGATAATTCTCATGATCTACTGGGCTGCTCGAAAGCCAATGAGACGCCTAGCCCAGCTTCAGATGTTTATAAAGTGAGGGGGTGCAAGACTGAATAGGAACGTCACATTCATGGTGGCCCATTCTCGATCGTTGAACATGAGATGTCAACCTTGTATAGCTTAGGTCTTGTTTAGAAGGACGACAAGAGCAAGAACAACTTCAACGTCAGTCTGTCTAACCCAGAGACTAAGTGAAGCTTTTGAGGATCAATTTTCGTGTCGTAGAGCATGGCGTTTGAATCATTTTCGTCGAAAGGGCTACGACATAGGCGAAAAACTTGGAGCATCTTAACGAGCTGGCAAGTGCACTGTCGAGTCAGCTGGACAATGCCGGCTAACCTCCTCCAAGCAGAAGTCTTATATCACTAGCAGCACGAGGGCCTTACAAGAACATGATGGTAGAGTAGTGCTCTTCTCGCTTCGAGGCAGTGGAGCGTTCGATTACCAACAGCTCATCTGGGGGGGCTTTCAATCAGCTTTCGCGCTAAACACTTTGGCGGTTGATACTTGATCATCCCATCTCACAGAAAAGACACGGTATTCACCAAGATTTCGATTTAAAGCCTCACTCGTAAGTTGGAGAGCCTAATCGTTACTGGGTAAGTTCAGGCCATAGTCAAGCTCCAGACACGAACTTCTCCAGAAGAATGACGCAAAGACACTGATATTGCAAGCGAATAACATTGATAGATACGCTTTAAACGAAGAAGGGAAAAGCCTCTTACGAAACGATACGAGCGAATCCAAATCCACTTATCGAGGCGAGCTGCGCCAAGGCCCCAGTACAATTCCTGGAGTATCAGACGTAACCTCGCGTTCGTTCGACTACATTTTGAGTCCGGTGGCTATAGCACCTGACTCGATAGGGAAAATCTAGATTGTTTCGCACACTTGCAGCTACGCCAAGGTCTCGCCAACGCTCTTGCTGTTGCTGAGTATGCAAATCGATAGTAGTATAGCTCGCACCATCGCGTATATCCCTATAGCTTCGGCTCATAAGACGCTCTCGTTCAGGCTACATTGCGTGTTCCATCAGCTAACGCCAATTTATAGTTCTGCGGTCCGAACGTAGCAGGCAGCTAGCGCATCCAAAATGCGGAGAAATGCTGCATGGCCCCATGTTATAGTTTCACAACCCATGGCCGGATGCAGCAATTTGTGAAGCCGTCCGGGCGCGAAAATCCCCTGGAAAACTCCTGCTGCCGCCGTGCACCTTGGGGGTTGGCATGTCGTATGCTTTGCATGCAGCATCTGCTACCGTTTGCGCTAACTAATATTTATTCCTTGCTTCTTTGTATTCAGATTTTCTAATTCTTGCAGCAGAAACTATGCTACATTGGGAATCATCCTTCTTGAAGATCCACGGCTAAGTCCCTACTTGGACTTCGAGCAACAGTGTAACGAATTCGAACCACCACCAACGCCACCGACTGTCAGAGTATAGCGCTATTTGATGTAGCCCTCTCTGCAAGTCAATTCGATTGAAAGTTGCTCTACGACACTTTCTATTATCAAGCTTTTCTTACCAGGATAATTGTCTTTGTGGCATTTAATTCCTTTCCAAACCCTTGGAAAGGCTGGAATATTGCCGGAACCCCTGCATCGTCTCGTGTACCCCACATTTCAAGCACGAGGTCAAGGCTATAGGGTTATGCTTAACACCCAATCTCATCCAAGATCCAAGAAGAGGAAGCATTAATTCGGAAGGCTTCTCGAAGGTCCGGGTTACCTGGGCGATAGGACCGGTAATCCATCTACCCTGCTCGCTTATTGTAGTAACATTAAAGTCATTTCAGCTATGATGGCAGTGGCTATAGGTTCTTGTAAGTTACGACCGGTCTAAAGAGATCCGTCTGGGCCGTACTGAAGTGGAAACGTTCGTCTCTTTCGCTAACGCCATCACTTCTGCAGACTTAGTAATCCTTTGCTATAGTAATAACGCCCTGCCGACTATAGGTACGCCATATTTTCACCCTGTTCTAGACAGCCTTGGCAGGTCATTTCAGATATCGTTCGATCTCCTACATGGTATTGACTTCGTGAAGTCTTTACTCGCCCTCCAGAATGAATGACGAGGAGTCCGAAATTGCAAAAGTCCCATATCAATATGTACATGGATTTCTCAACTGTTCGAAGCGGCCCTCGAAGAATCGTGTAGGGCATACAACCACTTCCTCAAGAGATGACTGCAAATCCTCCACTTCGCGACCAGCACCTGATATGCGGCTAGCACAACCTAGTGTGTTCGGAGCAGGATCTCAATACAGATTGAAGCCCGGGAGGCTCCGCCCGAATCCATGCTTCCTTTTTCGACCCAATTATGGGTTCTTGAAAATACCATTGGCTGAACACAGTATGAACACCTAAAATCGGTGCGGGTTGACAGATGGCCTGCACTGAATTACGCGACAATGAATGCCACCCGGAATCTTGGAAAGAGGAGACATCTGCAAGTGCTAGGATCGTGCCGTCACATTCTCCCATGTACCTTTGCGTACCCTGGGTATCGCATACTTCCTCTCTTGTTGCGATCGCGTGTTCGCGCTCGCTTGTTCTGAACTATCTTCACATCCTGCCAGGCAGGCTTGAAGGTAGATAGGACTGCGATCTAGTCCAGGACGTGTCCAACCGCGTTCCCCACGGCGTTACCGAGTCTCTCGTTCTACTCCCTCCCCTGTGGCTTGCATGCGAGGTTGTCGAACGGAACGGACCTCCAGTTATAGCGCAGGATCCGTTGACAGCAGCTACTTCATTATCGCTCACCTCAACGTCACGCCAGCGTAGGATTTGGAATTTAGTTCTTTTCAACCCTGGTCCAGTACCTATATCAGAGCTCTGCTATATTTGAGGCTGACACCCACCACCTGTACCGAGTCTGGCTCGACCGATTATTAGGCTAAATGTCGACAGCGCCACCCAAAACGGCCAGCAATCCACAGTTCAGCGTTGGCCGTTACCTTAATGGACATCCTTGCCGGTCTGATTATCGAGATCTAACAAATGACAGACGAGGACGCAAACGTTGAGAGGTACTTGCAGATACAACCGAGCTACCACTATTGAAGGGGTACCCATGCCCATGCGTCAGCCCTTCCGACCACGTTCCCCACATTCTCCCAGTGCAGATCGTCTACCTAGGTAGGTCACTTCGGCTTGCATTCTACGTTGGCGTCGCGTGCATCGCGAGCTGCGATCGTGGCCGCCATCGCATGTCACCTCTTTTCGGCCATAGTCCACGGAGCTTTGCAATCCTTCTCAACGAAAGCGGTACGGAGTTGCGCACATCGTATGCAAGCCTCGCGCCAGCCGCACGCCATTGCACTGATCTAGAGCGTACATGTCCGAATCTGTTGATTGAACAGCTAAGCGTCCGACATCGCCTCTAATAAGCAACGCCCGCGATACTCACAATGACGGTACAAAGGCGCGTGCTTTTGAGGGTATCTAGGGTCTTGCTGTGGTACCGATGTCATGCCTCGTCCAAAAACCGGTTCTAGATGGCCGCATGGCGCGACGGCTCGCGACGATCTGTCGAACACCCTCCAGCATCCCAATACGAAGACCGGCCCCCATTCCCGAAGTTGCTGCCTCTTTTTGACGACCGAGCTAGTTCGTTGACGCGTATTGTCTCACCGCATCCCCAACTTCTGGTAACCTCATGTAATCTATCACAAAGTCACTTCACGGCAGACAGCCTAGTAAGCCCGCGGAGGCACATACCACGAGCCTTCCATCCGTTTGAGTATTCTCCGCATGTGTTCATTTTACACAGCGCGTCGGGGCGGCAGTGCAACAGCGCGCCTTGTGGGGTCAATATATCCAATCCAGGAACAAAGTACATTTTTTTCATCTAAGGAAATGAGCCCCTCAATATGTCGAAGGTTCCAACGAAGCCCTAAAATGTGGAGAAGCATGTTGAGGATGTGGCGGCCGTCAGAGATACATGCTGCAGGTGCGAATAGTTGGGCGTGGTTAGATGACACGGCGGCAGCTGAACGTGGCACTACCGCGAGGATCTGCAGTGTTACCACGAAATGCGTGCTTGACCTGGATTTTTCTAGTCTTTGTGCTGGGTTATGCTCTGTTGTAACGGAGAGTAGGGAGCGTACTCCGGTGTGGAGATGTCAGAGGTGTTGATGGGGCTTGTAGCTTGCATGCGCAAGTCGCTCTCTATTTGGGCAAGTAGATTTGAGGTCATTCACAACAACTTAACGGTGGCATTAAGATGGACTTTTGCATGGCTAGACCATCACCTGCTATCACCTTGTAGGACGTTCTCTCTGTTGTCAATGCAAACGACGATTAGTTCTTTGTGAGGCCGCCTTCTTGAATGTTGTCACGACAATGGGAGATACGGCACGGTCAGCGAACCAGTGGCCAGCACGTTATTTGTGTGCCCATAGCGGGCCGGTCCTAGTGCTTTTCAAGAAGCTCAACCTAGTCTGATCAAGCATTGCAGCAGATAGCCTGAATCCGGTCGGAGGTTCAAGTGGCACGTCACTCGTTGAAATGCGGACTGTCGCTGATCCGGGGTTTACCAGCTGTCGTAGGCTGGCAGGGACGGGGTTCGCTCACGTATGCTGCTAGCCAACGAAGATGACTGACGAGTCTCAACAGATCTGGGGTTCATAGCAGGACAATACTCCTTGCATTTCCTCTTGCAGCGTCGGTACACGCTTTCCGTATCCTATGGCCTCGTGAGCCCCTGGGAAATACTAGAGTGTACTCGTTACCCAATCGCTTCCTCGACACTTGACTGTCTAGTCACCACCCGAACCAGAGTCTCGCGACAAGTTCAATACACACTCCAGCTTCTCGACCAGTGCAATACTTTGATCACCTCCGCTACCCCGGGTTTGACCTGAAACTTGCATAAAGAGGATCACCAGCAGAAACTTGCTTTGCGAATACCATGGGAGCCACATGTCGGAGATTATAGGCGACAAGGCAGTGAAGAGAGAATGGTTGGTGTATTGTTTGGTAGCGGAGGGGTTTCAGTATAACCGAACCCAAAAGTACCGGTAACGACAGGCACCAGTCGATACATCTGCGTTGATATCCACATATCTCAATCCTAACCAAGTCTGAGAGCTGGGTTTGTTAATAGAGAAACAGACAAATTGTGATGAAAGTAACTCACAATGCCAGCAAAGGTGATCAAAAGACACGACGAGTACCTTCCCGCCCCTCAGCCAGCCTTGAACCAGCATCTCCATAATCCCTCACTATAGCAGACCCACATACTCTGCAACAACGGCTCGTCAGCGCCCAGCACGCGCCTCACACCACGCCTCATCCACCAATTTCAGCACCAAACTAACGGGCCTAACTTCTCCGCCTGCCAGATAAAGTATCGCGCAAAATACCAGAATTTATGAACGGAGTAGACGGCTACTACCCACCCCATGGTCACGTTGGTTGTCGACTTAGCAAAGACAAGCGTAGCCGCACACCCCTGTATGTTGTTGAGTTCGCTAACACGCAGGGGGTGATTATCTGAAACTTTAATCCTGGGTATAGTACCGTAAGGCGATGAAACAAAAAGCGGCAAAGAGGGATGGGGGAGCCAACGCGGGGCAACCTATACCAGGCCAGGCGATCATAATGCTGGTGAGATGCTGACTGGCTGGCCTCGCTATATACAATCCGTTGTCAAGGCTTATACGCTTGTGTCATTGGCGCAAGCGCAAAAGGTTTTGCAGGTAGGACCGACGTATAATTGCCATGTTTAAAATGTGGTTGATTGTGTACGCGAGGAAGGTCTCGACCCAGGCTCGTGATATCCACGCTCCACCAAAGGCCTTTCTAGAACAGCGAGAGCGAGAAGCAAAAGGGGTATAATAAACTGCCGGTACATGACATGGGCCCTCCGTGACCCAAATTTTCGCCAGAAAGGAAAAGGGTGCCCTGAATATTTCGCACTTTTAATAGCAAACAAGTGGTATATGGAATGAGACCAACAGTAGATGGTGGTGGGTGGATGGGTGGGACCAGCGTCATCCTTCAAAGACCGCGCCGCAGAGCCGACAACCAATCTTGTCCGAACCCGAATATGGTATGTGCAAAACGCCCGAAACCGTACATGTGAGAACCCACACCACCCCTGGTAGTGAGCGCCCAACCCCAATAATGCCAAGAGCCTATCCCATCCAATATGTATGACCTGTGCACCGGAGTAAAGGATGTGAGGCTAAGAACTAAGAATGTGCTGAAAGTGGTGAAATGAAGTGTATCCAACTTGTGTTAGCCAAGGTTCAATCTCAATAATATATGACGATACCATAATGGACAATGAATGCCAACCCCGTCTTATCAGGTCGAGGTTGTGCTGTGTGGTGTGATGCGTATGTCGGGGTCGCAGGGGTGGTGATGACGAATAATGCGAGAAGCGAGTGCAACTCAGAGCGCGAGGCCAGAACCATCACCACTCCAGCGGTAAAGGCTCAGCATTTCCCGGCGACGCTGTTGCGCCAGTTCGGCATGTTCGTCCATGCCTCGACCACGCACTTGCTGTAGAGCAGAGCGCATGACTTTCCGGAAATTTCGCTGCAGATGTTTGTTAGCATGATCGTCCAATTTCGGGAGAATACTACCGTGGGAGAGGAAACAAAGGCTGAATCCGGGGTTCCAAGAATCGGGAATCTCTGAGACACTCACCTGATACTCTGTATTGAGGGTGACGATGCACGCTTCATGCGCGCGCACAATGACTTCGCATGTACGAACAATGTTCGGATTCGCCTCCCCTTGCAGCTTGTCGGCAATTAGCAGCAGGAGAAAACTGCCCTGCAGGAGGTATATGCCGAAGAAGAAGGGCATAAAACTTAGATCCGGGTCATACTCGAGAATCTCGTTCAAGGCTTCGGCTGCCGAGACGGCATGTCCCGTGGCGTCGACGAAGCTTTGTGAAGATATCCAGAGGTCGTTGTCATCTAAGAGGGAGATGGGGTCCCATTTCCCATTTAGTAAAATATGCAGTGTATGCATGAGATGTGTGCCATAGGCTTCGACAATCTTGGCGTGCATCAAAGATTCCTGTGCTCTTGAAATCGTGGAGTTGACAGATCGGACGGAGGGTGTGCTAGGATGGGCTGGCTCGTGCGATTCCGCATTGGCCTCGTTGATTGCGCGATTCCGAAGCTCTTGCAGGGACTGACCGTATGCCACCAGTTGCTGACTGATCTCTAATGCATGGTCGTCCCAATCGGTTTTCGTACCGAATCTCGGGTGATTTCGAGCATAGTTCAGGTCGACGATTTCGCCAAGGATGGTCATCAAAGGAAGGAAAAATCCGAAAATGGAGTGTCCGGTGCACTCAAAGGCAGGACCTCTTCGGCGAAATGTGGGATCTGAAAACGATTGAGCGGAGTCCTCGAAGAATTCGCCAGATTGCCATACGTTATCGTCAAGTGGCTGCAGAAGGCCTGAACATTCGACATCTAATAAAGATAGAGGTCGGTTGTAGCATAGAGCTAGGTGGCTGTTGAGCGATTAGCGCTTGCCCGGGTGCACCACGGTAGCCCAGGTTTCTAGTAACGAGTACAGAGACTGGGGTGCTTACCGGTCGACAGTGTACAGCAGCCACCAGATGCGTCTGCGTTCTTCTCGTTGTTCTTCAGTGGTGTCCAAAAGGCTATTCTGTCCACTCGGATAAGTTCCGCCTAGGTCGGCCGCCTCGATATCGCCATCCGCGTCTTCGTCGTTTGGCTCAGGTGGAGGTGTCACAGGCACTTCCTTGCCCAGCCTCAATTCCCTGGCTAGTGACCACGCAGCGTTCCACCAACGGAGCGATGCGGCCTTGTACTCACTCGCTGAGATGACAATAGCCAGGTGCATATAGGTTGCTACATCGTCAAGATCACCGGGTGCTCCCGCTAAAGACCAAAAGGTTAGTGAATGAGGCACATGGGTTACATGGAGGTAGTTTGAGAACCTACGTAGACCTATTTCAGAGTCTTGCGCTGGCATGCCAAAGCCACCCATTGTGACACCATTGACGATACCATTGTTGGCAAATGCGCCGGAGGTCGCGTTAGACTCGCCTGGTGTTTGGTGAACCAGAGGTTTGAGGAGGTTGATGGACAGATTGACCAGTTTTTCTGACAAGTGGCTTCTTGCAGAGGGTGATGATGACAAGTACGGTGACTCGCTCGTCAAGCAGCCGATCCAAAGCATGCTAGCCAACAGTGCTGGGCTGCACACGCGGGGGTTGTTTTGTCGGAGGAAGGAGCGTTTTCGGAAGACGTAACCGAGCACATACGGGGAGACAGGTTGCAGGAAGGTGGGCGAGGAGCTCTGGAAATAGAGCTCTAGCAAGTCGCAGGCCAGCGAAACGGGCATGACATCGACGAGATGAGGTACCAATGGCTGGAGAACGGGATACCTCAGCTGTTGAGCGGGATTTTGGTGTGGTGCGCCGGAGTACATGGTCGTAGATGGGGAAGGGAGCATCCATTCTGGGGAGCTAGCCACTGGCGATTGAGTCATGTAGCCCATATTCGGCGGCTCTTCAGGTAGCCTGAATGGGTGGGGTGGTGCTTGCGCATGTGCGCTCTGCGGGCTCATCATACTGTAAGGGCTGTCAGAGTACTCCAGGCCGTGAGAGGGGACGATGGGATGCATGCTCGGCTGCATCATCTGCAGCGGGGACTGGTATGTCATGTTACGGTGGTAGTCATCCATGGAGGTGTACTCGGGAATCGACGAGTGCATAGGCAGTCCTTGGGTCTGAATTCGAGGCGGTTGCATGGGCTGCATGCCATGCATCTCGTCTTCTCGCATCGCATCCAGGGTGCTCATGCTCATGGCGCGGTTCTGGAAGGGCGGTGCGGGCTCCATGTCGGATCTCGGTGTTGCCATGCTCGCTGAGCGGCTGGGAAGCTCTGGGAGCGGGCGTTGGCCATCAGGCAGCTTGGGACTGCTGCTCTGGGTGGACTCGCCAGCTTTGGTGTCAGATGATGGCGTCGCAGCGTCCTCGGACGGCTGGCCGCCATTTCCCGCGGCTGCGGCTGCGGCCTGCTGCTGGGCGATGTCTTTTCTCGATGCTTTGCCGCGCTTCTTGCGTTCGCGTATGTATTCGCATGTCAGACCAAACTCTGCGGCTGTGTTAGCGTACCTGTCATGTCAAATATGGTCACATGTGGGTAACGGGATTGACAGGATATGACAGGACATGACAAGAACACAGGTAGCTATGAATATACATACCTATGCAATGCGCGCAACTCTGCCTGCCTAGACGGTGGAGCATTCACGGTTAGCGTACGTGGCTGGCACTTTGGGCCTTTATGGGCATTCCTTACCATCGCACTTGGTCCGCAACTGATTACACTGGTCGCACGCCCGACTGATCCTGCGCCGTACGGGCCCAGACGTCGCACTGCCGCGACCAGATCGCTCGTGGAGCATCTCGCGCTGGTTGCGGGGCGCTATTGGCCCGCTGGCGTAGGGCAAGCGATGGGGCTTGACGAGAGCCTTGCCGTGGGGCAAGACATGCCGGGTCTGGTGGAACTGCAGTGCTGCGTACTGCGACGTGTGGGCCAGGGTGTCGAGCGGCGACGGGCCCATGTGCTGGGCGGCGAGGTGGTGGTGATGTTGTTGTTGTTGTTGTGATGGTGGTGGTGGTGGTGGTAGTTGTTGTTGTTGTTGTTGATGTTGGTGGTGATGGTCGACCATGTTCGGCGCGGGGAGGTGGCTGAAGGCCGACGGGTACTGCTGGTGGTGGAGATTCGTGGAAAGCATGGTTTAGCGCTCCGTCGCCGCCACAAATCCACCACTCGAAGGCAGGGCAGGACGGGGAAACTCAGCGAGCAGACAGCAATCAAATCGACAAGAGCGCGACGTGCCGAGCAGAGGTGGGGACGTCGAGGCAGGTTCAGCGCCGGGCTGGAGAGGTGGATGGGGTTGTCGTCGTCGTAGTCGTCCAAAGAAGTCAATCAACAAGATATGCAGGTCAGTCAGTCAGTGGTCCGCCCCGTCTTCTTTTGACCACCACCCACTGCTCTGTGCCTGGGTACAATATAGCTGGTCGGCCAGTGCTGTTTCCGCCTTGACGCTGCAGCTTAGTCGACGCGGCGGGGTATAACACAGGCAGTCTGTCGAGTGCCTGGAGGTGCAGGCAGGCCAATACCGGACCGGCATAGACATGGGAGTGGACATGGACATGGACATGGAGTGGACATGGACATGGACATGGAGTGGACATGGACATGGCATGGGCCAGACCTGTCCTGTCCTGTCCAGCCTGTCCCGCTGTATGTATCGTGCGTCAGAGACGTCTCTGGGGCCACACATGCTCTGCAAACGAGATGGGCGGCAGGGCACGCATGTTGGTGCTGCTTTTCTGCCTCTCACCACCTCCAATTCACCCCTGTGCCGACCGGGGTTCTGCTGCACACCAACATTCCACATCCAGCACAGTCCACGCTGCCCGCTGCATCCTGCATCGTCGGTGCCGCCACCTTGAACCGACACGCCCCCAAAATGCTCGCCGTAGCTTAGACCCGCAATCAAATTCCCATATTGGTTGATCGGTGCCATCCACGTCCCTATATGCGGCCCTCTTAAGAGCCGCGGCGCACCCAACCCAGGCCGGCTCAACATGTATCTTTTCGTACCCGCGCGGACCCACCTACCATACCATTCCAACGCCCGCTCCTCGTTGCTGATGAGCCGTCAGGAAACAAGCCGCTCGCTGATTGGCCACCGTCATCCCGTTGCTGCAGTCCGCCCGTTGGCACTTCGACCCGCTGACAAGCAGCGCCACATACCACTCTACGCGACCATCACGCATGTCAGTCAAGCCTGCAACAGTCCTGACCACCAGCGTTATCCGCCACAGCTGCCGGTCATACGCTTCCCGTTGCCAGCCTGTGCTGATCCATCCGCCTTTCATCCAGAATTCTACCAGAACTCTACCAGAAGCAGCCGAGAAGGGCATGATTCATGCCTACCTGATCGCTCTCCACGTCTTCCAAAACACTTCCATGATATCATCTGCCCGATTGGAACCCCCCCGGGCATTGGACGGCATTACCCCAGAAACAATTCGCTTACGTCGACCCGTAGCTCTCGAGCGTCTGCGGCGCATGAAGAAGGCTCCCCAATATCTTCTTCGGTAATGCATATGATCAACTCCTCCACAATCACCAGCGAGCTGGGATGGTCGCCTGCAGCAGCCAAGGTCAGGACGCCAAGTTGCATCTATGGGAGAGGGCCTGATGCCCACAAACTCGGCCTATAAGAGACCGTTTTATCACGTCAAGTCCGGGGATCAAGCACATTGACACGGCCATGTCAGCGCCCCTCGAACATGACGAGCAGCTATTTTGGTTTGATCATGTGGCCATGTGCTCCACGTTTCGACATCTGGAGAACCGTTAGCTGGCCCATTTCCATCGTCCATACTGGGCACTAATGCCCCAAGGCCAGCGGATCGCTCCGCATGCCAACGGCTAGGGCCTTTCCTCATTTGCTTCACAATGCTTCTTGTCAGCTTGGCTCTCTCATACTGAAGGCACATTCCGAACAGACCATCTTCAAAGAACCAGGTAAGAATGGTGATAGCATAAGTTATGAAAGCGACATGGCGAAGAACTTCTCCGGTAAAACAAGTCGGAGCAGTGACTTCGCGCACTACGACGAGTTGGGAACGGGTACTCGTCTCCGCAATCTCATCATGATCAGAGAGCATCCTCCATAGGGTCAGCGTCCTACCACTATGCTCTTGTGGGTAACCGATCACCTCAACAAGAAGCGCAACTGAGCAGCCGCGTAGCCCTTCCTGACCTAGACGTCTATCATGTCGGGGCCAGCTAGAGGCGTCCAGGATCGATGATCGCTCACATCCTGTCAGCCACCCAATCCTTCTCTGAACGACTGGGGTAGCCACCGCATCTGGAAATCACAGTGAGGGGATAGAACTGCACCTGTATCAGTGAGCCATAGCGATATCGAAAGCATGCATTGAGGATGAGGCTAATGCCAATTTTGGGACTTCTGGCTTTGTCTGACTTGTCCTTTTGCCTAGTTGCAGCCTGTTTCATGCATCCGATCGCATCTGCAGTATAGTCAGTAATGGAACCACCTCTTCCCCAGCTTCAAAGGATATGCATGCGAACGACAAGCCGGAGATCACCTCGCCACCTGTGTCGCAAGATACCACAGACGGGCAGGATTCTTCTCGGGATTATCATCTTCATGCCTTTCTTCCACTTAATAGTGGATAGTGGCTTCATTGGTTGCTTTAGACAAGTTTCTCAGTACTCGTGAGAGACCTATACACTGGGCTCGGCCTCGAAGTTGTCTCGAGAGCCGTACGCTAAAAGAATTGCAATTCCAGAAGTGAGGGGAGATGCATAGGGCTCCCACGGCTCCCCGGGCCCGACCTGAGCTCGGTTTGTTGATCTCCAGATATTGCTCATGCTGCAGCCACCGCTGCCGCGTGCATTGCATGGGCAAATTTCGAACGTGCAAGTGACAGCACTTCAACCGCCGAGACATGCACCGTTGGAGAGGCCCATGTACTTCGCCTGATCTTGTGATGTATGAGCTGACGTTTTTTGTTCTTATTATACTCCACCCTTGTAGCTATTACTGACTCGAAGTAACGCTGCTGTCTGTGATGCAGCAAAAAAAGTTGCGTACGGAGTTCGTTCTGCCGTTCAAGACCAATTGCGGTAGCAGCTGTCCAAGGCTCGTAAAGCCTGTTAACCGGCCTTCTTTCGATACGGGACTCTTTCGTTGAGAAAAGAGGGTTAGATAGCTAACTAACACTACGCCGTCTGAATAAGACGGCTAGAAAGTGTAGAGAATGTGCACTCGTAGGCGAAAAAGAAACCCGCACACGGCTACACTCTTCTGATCTAGTACTCACGGCACAGATCGCGATAGTGTGCCAACTCCCATCCAGTTCGCCATTCTCTCCAAGATAATGGTGCAAACCTTCATTCGGTTATCCTCGAGGTCGGTCACGGGTTGGTTAGCTATCCAAGGCCATGTGTACTTGCACCACGTTCTTTTCACTTCCAGAACTGGCTGAAGTAGAGCTGAAGTCTTTGATTTATTGGAGTATCGCAGACCACTCCGAATAGCAAAGAACCAAGCGGCACACGTTGACCTTTTTGGAAACCGGGTCAACGGGGATGGCCCCATGATGTCGACATATTGCAGCTTGAAGAACGCTGAAAGCTCCCAAGCAGAAAGAGTGGCAAAGCGTCCAATTGAAGCTCACCACATATTAACGAGCTTCCAAAAAATTCATATCGGTGCCGGGAACAAGGGAGCTAAAAAAAAAAGAAACCTCCATGTGCTTTGTCGACGCCATGTCTAACGAAGTAGATTAGTATGTGCAGTAGTGCCGAGTACATTCCTTTGGCTCTGGAGGCCGAACATGAGGGATGTGCCTGAATGACACGTGCAGAGCTAGCGGAGCCGCCGCCAGTCTAGATTGGTACTAGCGACCTCGACGTCATCCGATTCGGAGGGCAAAAACCTCAGACTCACTATTGTACATCGGTGGTCTTTGCTCACTTGCGTCTTCTAATTAAATTATCGACGAGGTTACTACCCACACACGTACCATCATCATGTCGCTAGAGAAGATCACGACCATCTCTCCCATTACCAACAAGCCAGTTGTCACGCGCAATGGCCTCTCAGATGCTGATCTCCAATCTATACCTGAGACGGCTTTGACAGCTTTCGACTCCTTTCGACGCACATCGCTTGCTGAGAGGCAGAAGATTATCAAGAGTGCCCTGAAGCTACTAAATGAGCGCCAGGATGCATTGGGCAAAGAAATCACCGAGCAGATGGGCCGTCCTATCGCCTACACTCCAAAAGAGATCACCACGGCTGTCATGCGCGGCGAGTATTTGCTCAAGATCAGTGACGAGACCCTCAAAGATACTGAGGGTGAGGCGGAAAAAGGCTTCAAGCGGTATATTAAAAAAGTACCGCTTGGGCCTGTATTGATTCTATTCCCGTGGAACGTGCGTGTGGCAACAGGCTATATTTACTCGCCCACAGGCTGACTTTTCCTGCAGTACCCGTATCTTACCCTCATCAACTCGCTAGTCCCTGCCCTGCTTGCAGGCAACTCGGTCATACTGAAGCCTTCCCCGCAAACGCCAACTAGTGCCGAACAGGTCCAGCAGATCTTCAAAGAAGCTGGATTGCCTGATGGCGTGCTCCAAGTATTCCACAGTGGGTCCATTGTCCAAATCGAGACGATAGTACGGTCTCCGCAGATCCAGCTCGTCTGCTTTACCGGTTCGGTAGCGAATGGTCTCGCGGTCCAGAGTGCTGCAGATGACCGAGTTCCTCTCCGTGTAGGTCTTGAGCTTGGAGGCAAGGATCCTGCATATGTACGAGATGACGTCGACGTCAAGTGGGCCGCGGAAGAGATTGTAGATGGCGCTATCTTCAACTCAGGGCAGAGCTGCTGTAGCGTCGAAAGGGTTTACGTGGACGAAAAGATCCATGATGAGTTCGTATCGGCTGTCCAGGAAGTACTCAAAGGGTACAAGCTGGGTGATCCGTTTGACAAGAGTACCCACGTTGGCCCCGTGGTCTCTAAACGATCAGCGGAGAGTATCCAAGCACATGTCAAGGATGCCCTTGAGAAGGGAGCCAAGGACGTTACCCCGGAAAATGCCACATTCAAAAATCCGCCTGCCCATGGAAACTACGTCGCCCCGACGCTTTTGATAAATGTCACACATGACATGGCCGTTATGACAGAGGAGACTTTTGGCCCTGTGATCCCAATCATGAAAGTCAAGAACGATGCCGAGGCCATCAAGCTCATGAATGACAGCCAGTTTGGACTCACAGCCAGCATTTGGACCAAGGATACTAGCAAGGGTCACGAGCTCATTGACGACGTGGAAGCTGGCACCGTCTTCGTGAACCGATGCGACTACCCCGCACCTGTACGTATGTCCAGCTCTTTAAGCATGGTGACACTAATGGAAACAGGATCTTGCATGGGTTGGATGGAAGGATTCCGGAAAGGGACAGACTCTGAGCAAATTCGGCTTTGACCAGTTCGTCAAACTCAAGAGCTACCACGTCAAAGATTACCCAAAATAGGTACTACTGCATAATCTGAGGCAGTATTACCTGCCAGTTTAGGCACGAAACAAGATGTTTCTCCCTACGAAAAATGGCAAACTAGCATGCATTGAGAAGAATTGAAAATGAAGGGCTGCTTGCTTCGATATAACGTTTGCAAATTGTGCATCAGTGATGCAAATCGTGCTTAGACTTTCGAAGCTGATTCGACATAGCAATTGGTCTCTCCGAAAATCGAGCCGATGTGCCGCCACCTGGTGCTACCGTAACACGAAGGATCTCCAAAACGCGCTTCGCGTGCTCACCTGACTTGGCGTCTCGGGATTGTACGACATGCAGCACCTAAGTGCACAACACCCTTTCATACCTCTCAGTCCTTAATTCGCCTAGGTGGCACCACCTGTCTCATATCTCCAAAGCGGCATCCTCAAACAGTAAGGCGGAAGCCTCTCCGGTGCGACCCTAACACACGCGTTTTTTGGTACCTGAACGAAGAATGCGACCCGTAAGCAAGGTTGGTGTCACGAACGCGAGAGTGTTGAACTAGGTGATCTGTGCATGGGCAAGGCCAAGATAGCGAAAGCGATGTCTAACTCACGGTCACAGACTCAGGCAAGTACTTCCATTTGCCTTTGGCTCTTTAGGTTTTGAACTCTACTGATATCGAGCTTCAATTCCAGTTTTCAGAAGCTACGCGTTCCCCGAGTAGTGTTGCAACAATCCATTGTCCAACGTCATCTGCGGGGATCGACATTTCACGGCCTAGCAACCCACGTCCTACCGCTTTTGCACTTATCAAACTGAAGGAATGTTTGAGCCGATACTCATTAATGCCCGCAAGGGATGATTCAACGCCATGCGCTGGGAATTCCCACTGAGCGAGTCGCTTAGGAAACCAATCTCTCGCTCCTGACTCCTCTTTAATTCTTCCTGAATATGTGACGACAAAACCTCTGCTCTCAAGTACTCATCGACTCTCATGACCATTCGATATTGTGTTGAGGTCTCTTCTTTCTGTTGATCTCGTCTTGGTTGCATTGTATCTTCCGCCTCGTACCTATCGTCCTTCACTTGTCTGTTACAGCGTGCTTTCATCGATCTTTACATATACCCTTTTGCGTTTACTTTCCGGCCACGTATATTGGGAGGATCTATACCACTCAGCACCATGGCATTCAAAGACATCATCACGAAACTTCGACGGGCAGTGCTTTGCTGCAGCAAGCGTAAGAGTAAGATATCGCTGGACATTGTACGTACTCCTATGATGTTGTATCGCATGTCTTCGAGACACGTTGAAGACTCAGCTGCCCAAAATGCACTGGATATGCTTATGTACTGATAACTCTTGAAGGGCCACCCAACCGATGTCCGCCGCGTAGACATCAGCGATGCCCTCCCCGGCCTCACTGATGCCGAAAGAAAGTACATCCGCGAGAAAGCTTCAAGCGACGCTATCCACCTTCTCGGCCTCCAATCCCACCCTCCATCTCACCCAGCGACCTCTCCATCCTCGCCCACTGACTCATGCTCGCCCTCCCTGGCACCAACCTCCATCATGTCCTCTCGGGAGCCGTCTGTGGCGCTCCTCAACGCCGCTTCAAAGGACCTCCCAAGCTCCCTACCAACGCCTCCTCGACGCCAACACCACGAAAACTCCCCGCCAGCCGCACGTATGAAGACTATGTGGGACAGCACACGGAGGCTGAGCAACAGCTCAAGCTGCCACAGTGGCCTATACGAGAAAATAGAGGAGATCAAAGGCCTAGACGAAGACAAAGACACAAGCGAGAGTTTTACTACGTTGAACCTCGAATTCCACTTCGAAGAGAAGAAGGACCGCTCCTCCGAATCGCCAAAGACGCTGTCGTTTACAGAGGGCTTCGAAGAGCAAGATACCATGGGTGGACACTCGCAGGTCACGACACCCTCCAAGAAGGACAAGAAGGTCATCGAGAGAGCTATCAAGGTTACGGACTTGAGTGACAGCAGTGATAGTAGCGACGAGGACGTGTTTGTTTCTCGGGAGATGAAACCTCTTGTTAAAATCTGAAGCATGAACTAAATTGAGTTGGCGGGAACGCACTCTGAATGTAGGATGTATTTGTACGAAATGGGCTAGAAAACAACGGTATCTAATTAATAGTCACTACGAGTAGGGGCTTGTGAATCAAAACTTTGTCAAATACACAATTGCACTTTTCAAGGGCTTTCTATGGGTTATGTGAATCTTTTGTTTTGCCTCTTGTAGAAGTCGCTAGCTTTTCTTCTCGCAGGCCTGGGAATATTTTATTGATCTGTTCAATTCGTGGGCTATTGCAACACGAGAACAATTACTCAACACATTCTTCCCAGAGGGACTAGACTCATTACATCATTCATGTCCTGATCGTGTTAGTGTTATCGTGATGGGCCGGGGAGTGCTGGAGCTCGGAAAACTTTTGAAACTAAATTACAACCAGCGCTACGATTTTCGGCCAACAATATAAGCGCGAATAGGGAGGTAAAGACGATGCAAAGAACGCCATACTACATTCATTTCCCTGAAAATGCCAGGAATATCTGCGTCATTATTACCTTGCGAATTCGAACTTGGTTCTATGAGTACGAGGAAATTCATGTGCTAGCTTGTTTGTAGGTATATAATTATTGACATGCTGAAAGCCGTCGGACGGCAACAGGATTCATAAAACCTTGCGCCGAAAAATCAAATGACACGATAGCTTGTAGAGTAACGTCGACTGTATGCATGATCACCATGCTGAGGGGTATCTCTGATGTAAAGAGTCCACCGAAACGCCAGATGATGCTATAAGAAAAGTTACACACGCCGTCTTTTCTTCATTCCACCCGCTAGACTCGAGCGACTTCGACGCGAGTGTGTATAATGCTGTCGAGTTGCGTCGTTGAAGCGTGGCACCGTCGTTATTGGACATCCCTTCTGCCCTGAACGCGAATCGATTACGGCTCCTAGTCCGAATCATCATCGTCATCCGGCGTCCTAGAATGCCTCTTACCCTTACCTTTTGCTCCCACCGGCCTACCCCTCGATTTTTTGGGCGTATTGCCCAAGCTCACATTGCTCTTTCTCTTCTTGCCCCGCGCACTCGTAGGAAACGGTGCACCGTTCGCGCCGTCACCATCCTCGTTCGGTGTTTCGTAGCCAGCTCCAAGGCTACTTTCGTCCTCACTTTCACCGATCCTAGTCTCTCGGTCGATTTCCAGCAAGTCAGCGAAGTCGTAGCATTGCCTCACCATTGCCTCTCGGTTGTTGAGGGCACTCATAATGGGTGTCAGGCGCTCTCGGAGCTCTTTGCCTGAGACGAAGTTGTTGCGGTTTGCAGGCTTGGCGTACTCTTTCTGATGGATACGCCCGTTGGACTTGTGCAGGTTGTAACAGCGGCGGACGAAGGTTCGCGTCTCCCACGCCATCTGGAGAATCATGCATGCTGTTGTGATTTGACGCAACCGAGCATCGTCGATTGCAGCCTGTGAGATCGAGAGGATCGATTCGAAAGGCGCTGGTAACACTCCGCTCAAGCCTTCATGTCCTTGAAGTTGCTGGGGCAAATCTTGGGCCGGCGCATGCTGCGGGAAGATGGATTGCTTCGGCATCTCGGTTTCAATAGCCAAGGCCACTATAGGCCCAGTGTGCTTGAGCACAATTGCCTCCATTGCATTTAGAAAAACTGCGAGTTCCTCAAGATGTGTAAAGTCAAGCAAAGCTAAGTTCTCTAAACAGAACCGAGCGAAGAGAACGACTTTCGGTATAGCACCGCTCGTATCCAGCTTTGACAAGTCGAAGTCGACTTGCTTGCAGGCATTGGCGACAAATTTCTTGAAAGTTACTTTCTTACCAAGCTTCAAGGCCTCGAACAGCTTAGCCAGTTTGGGACTCTGACCTGTTTCGAGCATCCCGTGCGAGTCATTGAAGACGTTGCGCTGATAGTCGAACGCAAGCTGGATAGCTTGCATGTACTCTTTCTCTAGATATGACTCTTGCTTCTCATGGACACGCTTGTGTTCGAGAGAAGCCACTTCTGCTATGTGCTCATTGAGCGATGTCCCTAGAGCAACAAGCGTAGGGCCACATTCTTTCGGATGAACAAGGCCTTGCCGGCTGATGCTGACGATGAGCTTGGTGGCAAGCAATGCGAGCTCGTTGTTGTAATTCAGTGCGACATCTTTGAAGCTCTGTAAGAACAACGTAGCTAGTATCACGGTCGCACTATCTTCATCGTTGGCTACGAAGGAAGTATCCAGACGCGCTGATTCATTGACAGCTCCTTTGCCGGTCGCAATCTGTGCACCAGTATCGGAGCGCCGCTCAGCGAATATAAAATAGTCGTTGAAGAAAGTCAGGGCGACCAGTTTTAGACGGTCGTTGCTCTCGCCATCGAAGACGGCCTTGATCACTTTCTCGACCTCTGGTCTCCTGAAGAACAGCGGCGACTGCTGACATATTCCACCTAGGCTTCCTAAAGCGTGCTCTCGTATGCTCAGGTTCCAAGTCTGCGTCGTAAAAGGTAGAACGGTGTCCAAGAAAAGGCGTGACGCCAGCGCCTTCCCGTTAAGCAGAGGCTCTAATTGCTTCTCAGTAACCCCCCTCTTGCTGATAAGACCGCTTGCTATGGATGCAATTTTGCTCCGAAACACTTCGATGTATTCATCGAAATCGAAGACTTTCCCGAAAGTGCCAAGGACAAGTAGATACGAAGTTATCCTATGGTGCAGCGCCGTGCGCTCTTCGACAGATTCAACAAGGAGTGGTCGTAACTGGCAGAGGGCGAGAGCTGTGCAATTACACAAATCCCCTGGGCCCATACCAGGCATTGCATTAATAGTCCGCAAGCAGTGAGCGACTTCAAGGAGTGTCTCTCTGCTTCTAGGCACCGCCTGCGAGGCACCGATCGCCAATTTGCTAACGTTCTTCATCAGACCTTTCCGCACCTCTTCTGTAAAAGCGTATTGGAGAGAAGGGAGAGTCGGAAGTACATGCCGGTAAATAACGACTGTTGGCCGCACAAGAGAGACATCTTCGGAGTTGGCGATTTCCTTGATGTATAATTTCAGGAGTTGGACCTGGTCTATCGTGAAAAGAGCCGATTCGACCTTAGCGAAGATGCTAAGAGCATCTAGAATGCGGCCTTGCGAATTCACATCCGACCCAGACCCAGGGTCAATGACCCCATCGATCATGAGAGCAACAAGCTCTTTGCAGGTTCTTAGATTCGCGATCGGGCCTTTGGCATCAGGTGATAGGGCGTGAATAAAGAATTTTTCGAAGGCCTCCAAATGCGCTGTGCTCGACTGTATCGACTCGATGATGTCTACCATGAGCGTAACACGTTGTGCGCGATCAAGTTTGAGCCGGCTTTCGTCGGTCTTCGCGTTACAGCTTACAGACGTTAGCAATATCTCTTCGAGGACGTTGCGGCTCAAATCAGATATGGAGGTTTCGTCGTCCTGTGAGGCCAAAAGCAGTGAAGTGGCGATCTGCAGCTTGATATCTGTTGATGTAGGACCGGAGTATATATCCTTTAGCAGTTTGATAGCCCTCTTCTTTGGGCCATTCGATGGGTCGATTGTCAGGCGGAGGATGTTGGTAAGAAAATGACGTTGCAGTGAAGGCTCTCGTTGCAAGCAGGTGGAGATTAAAGAGAGGGTGCTCTCGCGGACCATTGGCGATGTGGCTGAGAGTGAGCGAGCGATTGTTTTGACATGCCCCTCGGATATTACCCCGGGATCCTTGACGATCAACTGCTCCAGGCCCGTGATTCCTCTTGACCGAAGTTTCGGGGAATGTTTATCTTCAGCACAAGAGAGCATTATGTTGACCATGGTTGGGAGGAATTTGCAGACTTTACTGTGCAACGTCACGATACCAGCTGCAAGTTTACACTGGGCGTCTGATATTGTCTGGAACTTACTACAATGCTATTAGTCATGGGGGAAATCCCAACAGAGGCGGGGGGGCCTACTACTTTCGAGCAAGCCATTTAGGATCCAGGATTATGGACTCCAAGTGTTGTTGGACGTCTTTCGCGGTTTGAGGGCGGCCATCCTCATCCTCTGCAGGAAAAGCTTGGCTGACTGCAGCTAGCCATGAGCTAACATAAAAACCGCTCACAGACTGAAGGTGGGGGTCTTCTGGGTTTGAGCGTAGATTTAAATATCCGCTCAACGACTCGATAATTATTCGATACGGGCCATCGAAGGCGAGCAGATCCAGGTCGTTGATCCTCTCCTGTGGACCATTACCGATGGCATCGTCGACCAGACGGTCCAACCTGGACGATAAATCAGACTGGGAGATATCCAGTCCGCGCTTCAACTTTGTCAAACGGTGCTTGAAGTCGATGACACCGCATCCTATCCTAGCCATGGTGGTAAGGGCCATGTCTTTGTCGACTACCGATTGCTTCGCTGCCTGCTCGCGTTTGAATATATTGCGCGTGCGTACCAGGAGCCCTTGAAGAAGCACGACAGCAGCTGGCCACTCGGGGGAACCAAGGACTTGACAGAAGTCGTCGATGAAAAGATCTAAAAGGTTCCGGAACGGCTTGTCGCCTGTTTTTGAGACGTTCGACGCCCTGTCGAAGAGGAACATGGTTATGCGTCCAGCGATCTGATTGGCGCTATGGGTTAGATTCTGGGCAATCTGAATTGGCGTGTCGCTGCCACTTCGCTTCCTTGCCCTCTTTGAGGCAGATATCCCCGGCTCGTAGTCGCTGAGCTCCTCCTCAAGAGATGTATTAGTGGTAATGGCGGGCTCGGATTCTCTATTCGTTGCGACCACCTGCACAAATCGCATGAAGAGTGCCGAAATAGTCATTATAGGTGCTTCTCGTGCGGACTTGAATTGCCTGGCGCTCGCCTTCTTGTCCGGCAACTTTTCCAAATTGCTAAATATGCCATTCAGAATCGATTGCTGCTGTCCGATGTGCTGGGCGAATATCTGGGCGATGACATCCATAGCCTTCTGGCGGAACTGCTCAAATTTCGCAATAGTAAACACCGCATCTTTTTCATGGTCGCTGTTCTGCTCTACAAGAACCTCCAGGGTGAGGTATTCAAGAGTATGTAGTGCTCGATCCGACAGATTGCACTTGCCGATTAAGGCCGCAAAACAGCTTAGAATATTTCCACACAACGAAAGAACCGTTTGGAGTTCCATCTTCTGACCTGATGCCGCGCTGAAAAGATCTTCCGAGGCCCCAGACCTTCGAGATCGAACAATAGGAACGATGCATGCATCCTTGATTAACTTGACGAAGTCGATGATGATATCGATCATCTCTTCACGGCGCATCCGGTAATCGTCGCGTCCTTTAATCATTGTGTCTAGCAGGAGTTTGGATGCCTTGAGCGCGAGCTTGGCGGTTTCAATGCTTTCAGATAGTTCTGGTGTACCTTCATCTTGTGGGAAGAGACCATTCTTAGTAGTAGTCGTGACAGTCGGATACAGAAGCGACTGGATCTGCATGACAAGCTCTACCGAAAGGGCATCAAATCGACCGAGGTTGACTACGTTGGACATTTTCTCAGAAAGAACGCCCATGGGTCTCGGGTTCAAGACGTTAGCATCGCCTTCGGCAGTGGTGACTCTGGTAAAATTCGAAGAGTCGTCAACGTCGTCCTGGTCCTCGGACAGACTTGTCACTAGTGATTGGAGCTCCTCGACTTTCCGGTCTGCAATCTCTCGCTCATGTGGTCTTAGGACGGTAGCACCACTCTCATTCTGGTGACTATCCTTCGTTTTCTGTGACAAGCTCTCAGGCGTGTTAATGCTATCGTAGCGTTTGTAATCTTGGCGGCGGACAGATTTGGGCTTTATCATCACCGCTGGTCCTGGAGGTCGGTCCGGGGTACTGCTGGGGGCATACGAGAGGGCGCTGGACGGATACGGAAGGTTCGCGTTTTGTGCGTAGGCATTGCCGTTTGGCGTTGCGGGTGGGAGCTGGGCGGCACCCCGAGCCTGGTGTGAGGGAGTAGCCTGCCGTGCGGGTGTCCTGACACCGAATGCTGAGGCTGTCAGTTGGTGACACAGCAAAGTTAACAAAGAAGAAACTTACGAGCAAAGCTCACATCCGTCCTCTTCAAGAGTATGGTCGCAAAGGGGCTTAACGAAAGTTCATAGCTCGAGTTTGTCGCTGTGGTAGGACTGTCCGGTGGGGGCGTTTGCAGCTGCGGCATTGGCTTGAAGTTGCTAAGAATTGTCAATGGCCGTTTTCAGTTGAAATGGGCTTGGCTCACTATTCGGGCAGTTTGTCGCGTTGCAGAAGCGCTCGAAGCTGGTTGAGAGTGTCGTTTAGGTGGTGCGCAGTAGACTGGCCCTTGATCTCGTCGTTCAGGATGCCCACAGCCTTGTCCGCCGCTCTCTGTTGATCTGGGGTCAAGGTAGAGGGCGGAGTTGGGGGTTCAGCAGACGGGAAGGGGATGATGTCTGCCAGCAAATTAACCGTCTACTCAATGACAGGTAAGAGAAGAAAGGAGGCTCGAGCGAGAAGCGTCAGTGAAGGCGGCGACTAACCTGGCGAGAAGGGGATTATAGAAGTGAAGGGCGAGTGGGCAAGCGCCTCATTGACCGTGGGCGGACGTCGGTAGGGCAACCCGCTCCCATTGGCATTATGCCAGTTGGCATTCTCGAAGGTTGCCATGGCGGGCTCTTGCAGAGAAGTTGAGCAATAGCGCGGGGGTGGTTAGACAACCAACCTGAGAGTATACAGGTGTAGTTCGCCGCTTGCCCTGGGTTGGGCGGGGGGGGTTCTCGGGGTCGTCAGGGCGGCCTAGGGAACAGCATGGCCCTGGAGAGCAGCCACAAATCCCTCCCTCTTGTTGCAGGTGAAAGCGCGTTGTATCCGAGGAAACACAATGCTCGTTTCGTATGCCTCAGCTTCATCGAGTTGGTGGCAGCATGGGAGATGACGATACTGGCGCGTCTGACCGCCTGCCGCTTCGGGTTAGCGCGACAGCTGCGGAACAAAGTGCACACTGCACAGGCGCTCCCCGCAAAGCTCGCGATGCCCTGTCACTTTTTTTCTCCCTTCCAAGCTCGCATCTCGCACCCCAATCCTCTCACCGCTCCTCCCACCTTGCGACGACAAGTCACCGCCATGTCTGCCATTGGCTCACTCGTCTTCTGCACAGACTGCGGCAACCTGCTCGACGGGAGTGCTGGCAAGCAGAATGCCATCTTGACGTGCGCCGTCTGCGGCGCATCCTGTAAAGGTAGATACTCACATCTCAGCGCAGCTCAACGCCCAGCCACTGACAGCTCGTCTTCAGACACATCCTCCAAGACGGTCGTTACACAATCCAAGCCCACGGCTTTCCCATCCGCTCTCCGTGCGAAGCGCTCCGAGGTGCAGACCATTGCGGAGGGAGACGTGCAAACCACCAGTGTCATCGACCAGCCGTGCGAGAAGTGTAGCAGACCGCAGGTTCGCTATTACACGCAGCAATTGCGAGGTGCAGATGAAGGCACCACCGTCTTCTACGAATGCGAGTGCGGGCACAAGTACGTCTACACGCTTCGGAGTCGTCTGGACTTTTTGCTAACTGATATCCTACAGGTGGAACACAAACAATTGAGCAGGGCATTTGACCAGTCGTTTCCGCTCTATCAAACCTTTAGCACCTAAACGCCCCATGTATGCATACACCCCGCGAGATGCCCTAAGCTGCGACGGCCTGTGCGCCAGGCACAATCGCATACTCCACTTCTCCATTCTTCTCAAACTCGGCCATGTCGAGCGCCACAATCACACTATCGCGCACCACCTGTTCTGGGTCGTTCAAGAACTTGCGCAAAGTGTTTTCCACCCCCTCCTCATCACCCAGGCTTCCAAGCGCCTCGGCAGCCTCATGTCGGACCATGCTCGCTTCTTCTACATTGCTGAGCGCCTCGGTAAGACTAGGAATGGATGCGGGATGCGACAGCTGTCCAAAGACGAAAGCAATCTCGTGGCGGAATAGCGCAGATGGGTCGCTAAACCCGCGGGCAAGGGCCTGCACGGCCGGGACGGCCGTGGGAAGGTCTGGCGGCGAGGAGAGGTCGCGCAGAGCAAACATGGCTCGATAGCGATGGAACAAGGGCAGCGACGTGTCGAGGAGTGTCTTCTCAAGATCTGCTATCGACGGGGACTCGGTGCTCTGGGGTAGTGGCGGCGCAGGATCGATAGATGTGAAGTCGCTGCCTCAGTCAATATGTAAATTACGCGAACAATTAGAAACAAGTGCACTCTACCTCTTCTTCAACTTCTCCTGCTCTTTCTGCAGCCCGTGCTCCCACTCCAGGCGATCGACGGCAATATCACACGTCTCTCGCACAACGTCGACCTCCTTCACGTCGTCCCTCAATTCTTTCAACAAGGGTAAGCTGCCCTTATCTCCCAAAGCAGCGAGTGCTTCGGCGGCCTCATGTCTACACATGGAATCTTCTTCCCTATCCTCCAGCACTTCCCTCAACGGCGCAATAGCGGCATCATGTCGCGACTGTCCTAAGCAGTAGGCTAGCTCGTGCTTGAGCAAGGCAGATGGTGAGCTAAAGGCGGCTGCGATAGCCTCGATTGCAGGCACCGTCTGCGCGTTGGCTGGCTGCAGGGACGCAAGATGCTTGAGCGAAAAGAGAGCGCGGAAGCGACGTGCAAGAGGCTCGGATTCCGAGGTGAGGATCTTGCGGAGAGTCGGAACCTGTGTGTCTTGTTCTGTGACCGCCATGTTGTTTCCAATCGAAAAGTGAAATGCTGTGGAAACGTGCAAGCAGATTCCAATCGGCGCCAGAGTCAAGGCTCAACTTTTTTGGCGGGGCAGGAAATGGTGGGGTTTTTTTGACACGTGATTACGCACCCTGTTTCAGCGCAGCAGCCAGCCACCCATTCATCCAAGGCCCAAGCTCTGCAACAACAATGGATCCGCGACTCCACCGCCTTCCAATGCCTAATACTACAATAAGGGCGCTAAGAACAATACAAACAACATTGCTGCAGACTTAGTATATGGGTAACACGAGTCTGCATCACTCTTACCTTCATTTTCACCTTTATTTTCACTTTCACCGCAACGACCCTGCGCGGACGATCGACATACCGACACGTCTCTCTCCTCCAACGACAACATAAAGCAAAGACAAGAGCTCCAACCGCCCTGCGACACACTCCAACCTATACCGACCCCATGGCGTTCCTCCGCGATGTCTCGGACCGATTCTGGAACTATGTTAGCCCTCGAAAGACGCAGCAACGGCGAGAGAAGCCCTTCAAGGTCCCCGCGCTGCCTGCTCACGTCAGAATACCTCGCCAAAAGCAAATCGCAACGCCAGAGTCGAGGGACATGAGCCCAGAATCACGCATCAACATTTGGCACACCCGAACTCCAAGCCCGCAAAGCGATGTCGACATGGACGCGACGCTGTTGCCTCCTTCTCCACCTACCTCACCACAACCATCACATGATGACTTGGAGGGCGACACGTTACTCCCAGATTCGCCAATCTCCCAGAGTTACGACAAGACTGGATCGTCGGCGGACGAAGTGGATGCTAACGAAGACACGACGGTAGTGGACGATGGAACCTACATGAACCAGTACAAGAAGGTCAATGTCGACCAAGAACGGAAGCGACGTGATAAGCAGGGCCGCGAGCTACGAGATGCTGGATGGTCAGAGGACGCTGTGTTCTTATTCCAGAAGCTTGGGATGCGTGGATTCGAGCCTATTCTGCCAATCGACTGGATTGACGACTTCGAGACCTTGCCCGAGGATCTATTCACTGTGAAACTCGACAAGGCTTTCGTCAAACCGGCCCTCGGTACTGACTACCATGGTATGTGCATCTGGTCTCCAAAGATTGCGGCGAGAGCTAACATGTCGACAGCCCAGCTCGCACTCAGCAACCTATTCGACCTTGGCAGTGTTGTTCGCGATGCCTGGCATACTCGCGCTCCTAAGCGAACCCCGGCATATCACATCAAGCGCGCCGTTCAGAAATACACTAGGTGGGCTATGAAAGACGGCGGGGTTGACCACATTTGGCCCGAACTTCCGCTCTTCGAAATTGTCACCTGGGGCTTAAACGTGCACTCTTCCGACGGAGAGAAGAGGATGATTGACAAGCTCGGTAATCTTCACACACGATGGCACGAAGCTCTCCAGACCCAACCCGCCGAGGGCCGACTGGTGTCTGCTATGCCTGACGTCCCTACACTGCATGGCATTACGGCGTCGCATACCGTTATGGCTTTTGTCAGTTATGCCCCGCCAACAGAAGAGAACGAGCAGGCTCAACTACGATTGATCGCCATGTTTGACTTTGGCAAAGAGGGCTACGATGTTTGGAACTCGCTGGCTATTGCCATCTTTGTCATCCACTGTCGCAATCGGATGATGCAGCTTAAAGAATGCTTGTCTGAGCCAGACCTGTCGACTGAGGAGGATCCTGATCTTTGAGCTGAGCAACTATTCAGCCACGCTACCTTGAACGATGCAACGAAAAGATGGAATTTATGAAATGAAGCGATGGATAATGAATTATCCGATGGGTTCCGGCGTCTTCTTTCACGATATACCCCCTGTACTCCGCGCAATACCCCTTTTGCCTTTTTTTTATAGCTATCTTGCAGCAGCTATTTCCAATCCTCCTTCGCCGCGCAGTTATTTTCACCTGCACGTCTATTCGAGGTATAGCATAAGACCGCGACATGGTTCTTTGCCATCTCACATTATTGAGAACCACGGGAAAATTGTACAAGGACGGCTAAGTTTTTGTGCCGAGTTTACGTACGTAGTATCAACACCAATTCCAATCAACCCTAAGCTAGGCTCTATTTTAGCTACTTCAGAATGAAGCGTCACGACTCGCTACGTCGTGGCCCAGATATCGCCAAATTAGCAAATTAGAAAAATAACATAACATAACGTTATCCTATGTTTTCTTTTTCTAAGTTTGACTTCCATGTGGACCCCTGCTTTTGATAGCCTGACAGCATTCTAGGTCTATTATTAGTTTCCCTTTAACACGCTCTACAGCGACTGAACATGTCTCGCGCGTTCGCCACGCTTTCCGCTCCACCGAGAAGATAAACTGTGAAAATCCAATTATAGATACAACAAACGGCACAGCAAAGCTTCGAGAGGCGGAGAGGGGGGACGGAAAGCAGCATGACGAATTGAAACCTCAGCCAGTAGGCTTTTGGCATTGTTGGTTTGGATCCCCAACACGTGATTTATTATATGCCCAACACGCTAGTCCACATATAGACTAGCTTATTCTAGTTTTACTCCTTTCTATATATAAACATAGCTTTTTCTTATATATAAAATATTATTAATATAATTACTTTTTTTTAATTTTATAAGTTATAAGCTTTTTTGCGCACTTGCGCGCAGTTTAGCTATAATAAATTATACTTTTTTTATGCTACTATTACGTAACTATATTAGTTACTTTTTAATTATAAAATTAATTTTAAAACTATAGTATTTATATTAATTTACTTAAATTACTTAATTACTATATTACTTAAAGACTACTGCGTCTATTTAACTTACTAAAATACTACTATATTAAGTATAATATAATATTAAATATATTTTTATTTATAATTAATACTAAGCAGGCGCTTAATAAAAATTTTATTAAATTAATTAGTTTTAATAATTTTTATAAATAAAAGCGCATTTTTAAAAAAGTTATTACTTAATAAAATTTAATATATTACACAGGCGAGCTGCGCGCCTAGGCAAGCTACGCACTTTACTAAAATTTTACTAAAATTTAAACTATATTTATAATATAACGCAATGCCTTAATATAATAATATATAATTTTTTTAAAAAAAAAATTAAATATAGTTTACAGTTTAGGCTTTAAAATAAAATGCAATTTTTTTTTAATAAACTACTACGCGAATATTTAGTATTTTTTTAAAAATACTTAGTAATTAATTTAAAAAAATACTTTTATAACGCAATACTAAGCCTAATAGTATAAAAAAAAATTTTAATAAAAAAAAAATAATTACTTAATATATATTCTACTTTAAAAACTAAAAATTTCCGCCCTAACTAGCTGCTATAAATAATATAGCTAATATTTTACTAGCTAAATATAAATAATTACTTATTAGTAAGAACTAGGCTAATATATTTATTAAATAATATTTATAGCTTAGTACTAAAAAATTTTAAAAGTATAACTACTAAAAAGCTTTATATAAAAATTTTAAGCTTATATAAAGCTAGTTCTAACTTATAAAAAATATAAAAGCTAAATATAATATTTAAAATAAAAATATATATAATTTTAATAAAATAAGCTTTATAATAGGCTAAATATTATATAAAACTATTATTTTAAGTACTAACTATTAAAGATAGCTAAAAATAGTATAGTAAAGTAATTAAAAGTAAGTAATAGTAATCTAAAGTATTAATATAATAAAGTAAACTATTTTACTTTTTATTATTTTTGCAGGCAAGAACTACTTTTTAGCTTAGTATAATCGACAGCTACGGCAAGGGCAAAGAGGCCCTCTAAAGTTAGTTACAAAAAATTAAGCTACAAAAATTTAGATTTTTACTTAAGTGGGTAACCAAATTTGGCAAAAAAAAAAGAAAAAATACAGCTTTTATTGTTAAAAACTGCAGGATTTGAACTTAGTTTACTGTATATAATTTGGATATAATTTAGGTATAACTTAAATATAATTTAAATTTAATTAAACAATTTATTAAACTTGGCTATATAGTTAACTAAATTATTAAGGTTTTTAGAGCTGTAGAAGCTTTTCCTTAATAGGCTACAATATTCGAATTTAACTACAATTGTATAGCTGCAACAGCAGCTTAAGCCTCTATTTTTAGCCTAGTATAAAAAAAATAGCCTGCTTTATAATTAAATTATTATAGTTTTTAAAAATAGCTAAATAATAAATAAATTTATTTTTAAATAGTTAAAGCACTTTAATAAGTATACTAAAAAAAAAATTATTAATACTTATTATTTATTTATTATTAATAGTTATAAGAGCTACGTATTAGTCTAATTTTAGCAGTATTATAAAAAATAAAAAATTATTACTTTTTATATACTTTTATATTTATTGCACTTGCTATAGCTATTTAATATAAATTATTTTATACTTTTAAAAAAAATATATAAGTGCTAAGCTAAAAAGCTAATGCACAATAGTATTAATTATATTATTAAAATTAAGTTTTTACTATGCTTTAAACTAGCTTTTAATACTACTATTATAAAAAGTAATATTTTAGGTAGCTTTAAAAGCGCTAGTCTAGTTTTTTTTAATTTTAAAGCTATAATATTAAAGCTTAATATTTAGTTATATATTTTACTACTACTTACTATTAAAAATAGTTTTTAGGAGTTAAAAATACTAAGCAATACTTTAAAATTTAAATTTTAATTAATACTAATTAAAATAAGAATTTAAAGGTATTTAAATAATTTTTTTACTTTAATAATTAAAGTTTTTAAAAAAAATTTAAAAAGTGTAGCTATAATTACACATAAGCTTATATTAGTATAAAAAAAAATTACTAAATTATAAGTAGCTAATAAAGCTGCTACGCAATAAAAATTATATAAAAAAAAGTAAATATAAAAAAAACAAACTTTTATAGTAAAAAATAATTTTTAATTAATAATTTTAAAAAAGTTTAAAGCGCGTAGTAATAAGAAAAAAATAAAAAAGCAAGTATATACTAAAGCAGGTAAGCCCTTTTAAAGGCGCTATAAATATTATAATAAAGCTAGGCATAATGCGCAAATATATAAGTAAAAAGTAAAAATAATTTTTAAATAAATTAGCTTATTATAATTTACTATTATAATTTTTTATAGTACTGTACTATTATATATAGTACTAATTTTAGTAAAGTTTTAGTAAAGTGCGCAGCTTGCCCAGGCGCGCAGCTTGCCTGTATAATATATTATTTAATTACTATAATAGTTTTATAGTTTAGTACTTTAAACTTATTAAGCTTATTTTTTTGCATACTAAAACTATATTTAAAGCTATAATACTACTTTTTAAAAGTTAATATTTTTTTTTAGTACTATTACCTTGCCTAGTAATAATAATAATACTACTTAATTTAAGTATAAAGCTAAGCTTAAAATTTATAAACTTAAGCTTTAATTTTATAATAAATATTATAAAAAGTTACTTACTACTTTCTATTTTTTTAAAAATGCTATAGAAGACTATATTTAAAATAAATTTAATAATAAATAAAAAAAAAAGCTTTATATAGCCTAGGCTAATATTACTAAAATATACTAAATTTTAAATTTAGTTATTATTTACTGTACTAAAGCAAAGCTAAACGCTTTTATACTTATAAATTTTTCTACTATCTGCCTACTTTTTACTAAGTTTAAGTACTATTATAAAAATATTAATACTACTAAAAGTTTTTTTACTTATACTATTTTAATTTATTTCTATAAATAAAAGTAAAGTTGACGCTAGAGCAGATTATACAACGCAGTAGGAGAATTTAGTATAAAACTATAGTTTAAGTACTATACTTAGCACTTTAATATAGTATTAAGGCAGTAAAGTTTATATAATACTAGGCTAGCTAAATAAATTTTTAAAAGTTTTTTAATAATTGCTATTAGCAAATTTAATATATTATTATTTAAAAATTATAGCAACGTAACTATTAACTTTTAATAGTAACTAATTTGTTTAAGCAATGCTAGGCAAGTTAAATTAAACTAAAATAGAGTATTTAGTTAGGTTTTTAAGCTAATATTAGGAGCTTAGTTTAGTAGTAAAGCGCCTTAACTAATGTTTTCTTAAATAGATATAAGCAATTTAATTAGTAACAGCATGCAGAATTATTAATTAAAATTTTAATTTAGCAAGTTAGCTTATAAAGAATTATAAACTATAGTATTTTATATAATTATTAATAAATTGTAATAGTTAAAAGTAGAGAGCTGTAGGCAGCAGTTCTAAATATATAATATGTATATATAAGGACGCCTTCCTTTTATACAATTATTTGCTTATATTTTTGCAATAAACTATATTAACTATTAATAACTATATAAGGCTTACTAATGCTATTTATATAATACTTATTAATAATTTCTTTAATACTGCCCTACGCTTTATTATATTTTTAGCGTTTATAAAAAAACTTAGATTTTAGGCTAGTTCTTTGCTATACAAAGCTAGTACTTTAAACTAGTATTAGTAAGTATCTAAGTACTTTAGTAAGCTTAAATAAGTTTTTTAAAAGTTAAATACTAGGCTTTTTTATATATTAAAGCACTTTATACTTAATTACATTTTTTTTAGGAGTTCTATTAGCCTAAAAAAGCTTTGCTAGAAAAAGTTAAATATATTAACTATATTTATTATTAGCTACTAAATATAGACTTTTTACTGCAGTTTAACTGCTTTTTAAAAAGC